CTTCGGCCAACTGTTGCCACCTTTCTATGCTCCCCTTCGGCAGCCTCTCAAACCATTTCAAGCCCAGCTCGCCCAAACTTGACGGGAAGATAAGGCACATAAGAGCGTCATTCCGCCTATGTCTGGCCATGACCTGTAAGAAGTGGCTTACATGCATATAGGGATCGGTTTTTTCGTCGTAGAGCATGAACTTAGGTTGGGGGAAGCCCGCGGGAAGCGGTGTTGTTTCTATCTCCATAGAGAAAAGGGTGGCGCTCAGCCTTGCCAAGTCTGTGTCTAGAAGGAGAGGCGCAGCTAGGCGAGGTGAAGGCATTCCGACCTCTTCACTGGCGTGAACCCCATAGGATAGCCGCTGGAACGCCGACACTCTCTGAGCCTCCCGCCGGCGAGCCCATTCCTTCAAGACTACCTGCAAATCCTCTAAACGAGCAAAATAAGAATACCTCGACGTCGTCGCCGGACGTGAGGGTTGATAGGTGCTGTCTTGCGTGCTGGATTTCACTACGTGCGCGTCGGAATCTCCAACCTTGTAACTTCTGGTGATTGAGATGGACGGAGTATGTCGCTGGCTCTGACTGCATGAACGGCGGGGTTGGGTGCGCTCACTGTGGTCTCCCACTCCAGCTACACCCTTCCTTTTGACATGTCGCTTAAGATCCTCCATCTCCGCCGCCATTCTCCGGATGACGGTGTCTTGGTCCCTTAGCTTGTGTTCTAGTCGCTTGGCGTGCGATTCTCTCCGCCGTCAGTGACCGTCTGGACTCCGTGAATGTCCAAAACTTCTTCCGCGCTTATCCCGCGCGTCTCTTGAATGTCCTCCTGGAGAAGTTTTCAGGTCCGCCATAAGAGGAATGGCGGGATGTCCTTCTCTCCGTCTGCCTAACTCCGGGGTAACTCCGTCGATGGTAGACAACGGAATCTCATCGTTGTTCACCATGGATGGCGATCAGACGAGCCTGGAAGACAAGGTTTTGTCTTTCAAAGTTCCCACAGATGGCGCCAATTGTGCGGGGAGCAAATATTCAGGCAAGCCCACACTCCTTTCTTCCAAGCTCCTGTCTGTCCGATCGACCTGGAAGCACAACGGCGGTGAGCTACCCGGTGGTGTGTGGCTGGAAAACCCCTCCGACGATCAAGTTAGACACACACACAGGGATAGAGAGAGAGAGAGAGGACTGAGTTGTGTTTAGTGTTTATCTCACCAAAATGTCATCTGTCCCAGGCATGGGGGGCGCAGACTCGCTTATATACCTTCTGCGTCCCAAATCTACTCCCATTAGTCTCTCGACACGTGGTGCTGCTATCCCATCTGTCAGCACAAATCCAGCAATCACCACCTAACCAAACTGTTAGGATACCTCGGCAGAGCTCGGAAGACCAGCGGAACCTCCTCGGTTTCTCCTGACCGCGCTGGCATACCTTAATGAACCATTCGCCAAGCTCCTGTACAATCGAACTCGGCTGTATTCCGACAAGCTGAGCTTGAGGTAGGTCGATCCGGTTAGCCGTCGGTCTTCCTGCCGAGCTAACGCATATATCGTGAAACCCATGAAGACAGGCAGACATCTCGGCCGAACTCCTAGTAGACCGACTTCCGCAACAACAAGCCAAGTAGCTCGGTCCCACATGCCCTGTGCCTTAACCAAGCAAAAACCGTTCCGGACAAGCCCAAGCTACCACGGTCCAATTGTGTTCGGCCCACAATTTGCCCGGCCTTTACCACGGCCCACTTCAGCTCATAAATCTCCCTCTCAATATATAAATATAAATTTATATATGTTATTGTATTCATATATTGTCAATCTGTAATACTATATTACCATCAGATACTTTAATTTTCTAACATCGCTTTAGTAATATAGTTATATTTGTTAGGAAAAAACTGCAGAATTGTATATTGCTCTTATCAACTTATATTCAATACATATATACATACATGTCAAACAAATATGTGTCCACAACAAACTGTTTCAATAACAAATTAATATTTTGCAAAACACATCCAACATGACAATAATTGTACTTTTTTTCCCTCACAGAAAAAATCACATTATTGAGAAAAAATAAATTTTGAAATTCATAACAATATGATATCGCTTCAAACTCTTACTCATTAAAATATTTTTATTACAATGAGTTATAATGGTGAGTAAGAAGAAAAATAAGAAGGTGGTGAAACAAAAACTATAGAAAATCTATTACAACATGCTATCCAAGCAAAGTTAGACGAGTTGAAGCAAGAATTGTCCTATTTGTTGTCAAGTTCAAGAAAAACTATGTACCTCATGCATAAATTTTATATTTATAAAATTTCTCATTTATCATTTAAATTTTTCAACCGAGTATTTATTCATTTCTTACTTAGTTATATTTTGGTTAAGATCAATTTATTCATATAAGTCTTTATATTTTGTATACATATTATATATTAATTTAAGAGACGCGCATAATTACAGTATTAATAATTGATAAAAATCACGTGCCATGGGCAATGCACGTGCCCAACAATATTATTTAAAGTAATATTTTTGTTATGCTTAAATGACACATTTTAAAGGCTTGTTTTTTCTAAAAAAAAAAGCTATATCAGCATGCCCTATTTATTTACATATAAAGTTATACACAAACTCAATTTCAATTATAATAACCAATTTTATATGAACTCTAATTGAAAAATACTTATTTTCCATATATTTTTCTATTTAGTTTTGTCGTTATCAAATTTAACTACAAGAAAAGTGGGCTTATGAGATGGAACTTTTTGCAACGGCCTTACCATCTCAAAAAATGTGACTTTTTCAGACAGCACAACTTGCCGTCGCCAAAAAATGTGATTTTTTGAGACGGCACAACTTGCCGCCGCAAAAAATGTGACCTTTTGAGATGGCACAACTTGCCGTCGCAAAAAATAGAGTATTTGAGACGGCATAAAATGCTGAGTATTTGCGATGGCAGAAATTGCTGTCGCAAAAAAAAAAAAGAGTATTTGCAACGACAAAGATTGCTGTCGCAAAAAAAATAGAGTTTTTGCGACGGTACCCGCTGCAGTCGCAAAAAAAAAAGAGTTTTTTGCGACAGTAATAAGTACCGTTGCACACAAAAAAAAAAGTAAAAAATATATATATATTGTGGCTTTAAGACGACTTCATATATTTAATCACAAAATGGTTTAAATAAATGCAACGGTATTTTTTTGTCATAAAAAAAAATTAAAAAAAAAACAACGTCGTCTTACCCTTTTAAACATTTATTTTTTCACCCATTTTTTCATCTTTCTATCTCTCTGTCTTTGTCTTTGTCTTTCTCTCTCTCTCTCACCCATCACTCTTCTCTGTCTGTCTGTCTGTCTGTCTGTCTTTCTCTTTCTCTCTATGTCTCTGTCTCTCTTCTTTTTCTCTTTTTCACTCAAAAAAAAAATAAAAACGACGTCGTCTTACTCTTTTGAACATTTCTTTTTTCATCCATTTTTCTTTCTACCTCTCTGTCTCTGTCTCTGTCTCTCTTCTCTTTCTCTCTCTCACTCATAACTCTTCTCTGTCTGTCTGTCTCTCCCTTTCTCTATGTGTCTCTGTCTCTGTCTTTCTTATCTCTCTCTCTTACTCATCACTCTTCTTTGTCTATCTGTCTCTTTCTTTCTCTCTATGTCTTTGTCTCTCTCTCACTCATCACTCATCACTCTTCTCTGTCTGTCTCTCTCTCTCTCTTTCTCTCTCTCTCTCTGTGTCTTTCGTCCATCTTTCTTCTATTTATCTCTCTCATCTCTCTTCTCTCTCTATCTCTCTTCTCTCTCTTTTCTCTTTATCTCTCTCGCTCTCTCGTTCATCTCTCTCTGTCTCTCTCTCGTTTATCTCTTTTTGCTCTTTATCTCTCTCTCTATATCTTTTCATCCATTTTTTCATCTTCTTTTCTCTCTTCTCTTTCTTTCTCTCACTCATCACTCTTCTCTCTCTGTCTATCTGTCTCTCTCTCTCTGTGTCTCTCACTTATCTATCTATTCTCTCATCTCTTTTCTCTCTCTGTCTCTTTCGCTCATCTCACTTCTCTCTATCTCTCTCATCTCTCATCTTTCTCTGTCTCTCTCGCTCATCTCTCTTCTCTCTATCTTTCTCTGTCTCTCTCGTCCATCTCTCTTCTCTCTATGTCTCTTTTATGTCTCTCACTCTCTATCTCTTTCTCTCTCTCTCTCTCTCTCTCTCTCTCTCTCCCACTGTGTTTGCGTTGCTCATTCTCTCACTCACGTTTTCTCTATTTACTGAGCTTCCTCTCGATTTATCGATCCACTACAAGAAAATGCACTTTTAGCGACCACTTTGTCTCTCTCTCGTTCATCACTCTGTCTCTGTCTCTCTCTCCTCTCTCTCCTCCATCTGTCTCTCACTCATTTCTCTCTCTCACCACCCATCTCCTCTACTACCTTCACCACTACTGCAAATGCCATTCCACCACCACCACTACTTCCGTTGTCGCCACTTCACCTCTACGACTACCATTATTACTACCATCGCCACCACTCCACTACTACCACTACCACTACTGCCACTACTACTACCATTACCTCTCTTTCACCCCTGTCACTCCATTTACACTACCCCTACCACAACTTCACCGCTAATCTCTTTCGCCATCACCATCACCATCATCTCTTATCCACTACCTTCACCACTACTACCGCTCCATTTCCTTTACCACAAAAAATTAGTTCATGATTTTTAGTAACAAAAAAAAAAAAAAAAAAAGGAAGAAAAAAAATGTTTTTATTTAGTTAATAACAAAAATGAATATGTATAAATAATTCCACATAATTCCATTTCCCTTTCATTTTTCTTAACAAATTAAAAAGGACAAATTATGATGGTAGTCCCTATATTTTCATCATTGTATTATTTTAGTCATTATAATTTCAATTGACTCAATTTTGACTATAAATTTTAATTTTGTCTCAATTTGATTCAATTAATTATAAATATTAGCATTTCTTTATAAAAAAATATGCGTATGAATGTCATGTGTCATATTTTTAAAAATAAAATTATAAATTTACTCAATTTAATGAGTTAATCTCATCCAATTTAGTAGACCAAATCGACACAAAATTTAAAATTAAAAATCAAAATTGAGTTAATTGAAAGTGTATGAACTAAAATGACAAAAGAGATAAAATATAGGAATCATCGGTATAATTTGTCCAATTAAAAATAAATTCATAAAATATTAAAATAATAATAATAATAATAATTCCACAACCTCCACCATCGAACCACAGCCCTCTCACGCATTCTAGAAAAGAAAACAAGCACGAGAACAAAAAATATCGTCAAAGCCAAACAAACAGGCAACTGTGTGGGGAAGAGAGAGAGAGAGAGAGTTACATGGAGCTGATCGGTAATGGAGTCCTGCTGGTTAGTTGGAGACAAAATCAGAGACCCCGTATCCGACCTCTCTCCCAATCGAGCGAACGCATTGTGCGTCGTTAGCCACGAATACCGATTAAATGGCAACCCCTTCACCTAATCCAATCTACACAAATCAAATTTCCTACCATACACACAATTACAATAGTAGTTGATACAAGCCATGGAGAGAGAGTGAGAGAGACCTTGGAAGTGGGAATCACTGGTCGAATTCGAGTACATCGAGGCCGTTTCATTCCACTAGCCAGGCACATTTCGCAATGTAGCCCAGCGTTGCAGTTTCGGTCGGCCACGCATGTCTGTCCTTCCTCCTGTTAATAATACAGTAACTAAAGCCTCGTTTGAAACAAACTATTTTAACAATTTTTTTATTTTTTACAAAATGATATACAGAAAAGAAAATAAAGAGAATAATATTGCAACTTATAATGATTTTTTATTTTTATTTTTTTGGACTAAAACTGAAAATTGTCGAGCGAGACCTTATTAACTTGGGAAATTCTAATACTATACACCTCCTTTATAATATTATTTTAATTATTATTCATTATATTTTTAGTTATATCTTATACTATATTTTGTTTTGATATTTTTTTTATAATTATAATTTAAAAAGTATGAAATTATACAATTTTCTTCTTTAGGTACAAGATCCATATGCTACACCTTTTGAAAAGCAGTGTGTACCTCATTCAATTTGGAAATGTTTCAATGTAATTTTTTGCTCTGGAATTTGAAATTTGATGTTGATGATGAGAGTAGTAGAGTAATCGAGGAGTACCTTGAAAGACGAAGAGAAACCTGAGAGAAAAGTTAGGACGAACAGAGTGGTGATGCTGGGATTGAGCATGAATTTGATTGTCTGCAACTAAATTAATTAGGAGTTGGGAGGAGACAAAAAAATAAAAAAAGAAGAAGAAATAACTAGGGAGGAGAGAGAGGAACGCAGGGAAGAGAAGATTACATTGCATGCCTTCATATCACAGTCGTTCGTTCGTTCGATTATGGGGTCTTCAGAGGAGAGGAGGCGAAATGGAGACGATGAGGTATGGATGGAGTAGGCACTGAAACCTGTATACGTTACCCACACACCACGTACATTAATGGCAGGATATGCACAATTTTGTCGGAAAGACTATGATGTGTATCCTATATACTTTATAATAATAAAATTAAAAATATTTATATTTTGTGAGTGATAATTAAAAAAAACTTTGAACGCTAGATAAGACGTAATTGAACATGTCAGAGTTATAATTAAAAAAAAAAAATAAGACTATATGTATTAATTAATGTACTAATTAGTATATTAACAGATCATCTGAGATAATTTTAGAGGTTTTGAATATTTATAATTTGTATAATATGTGAAATCAGTAATAATAACATAACACTAGTTGGTATAATAGTGTGTACATTAATTGATGCATGTAGAACCACCGAAAAAAAACAAACATAACTAATGGTGCATATAATACATCCTTTTTAACAGTTGTGTATGGTAGAATTTTCCTATTTTTATATATAACTTTACGCTATGTTTGGTAGATTTGGAGTTGCTGCTGTACGGGTGCATTTTCCTTGTTATTTAGAACTGTTCCTTATGTATACTGACATAGACCTGCAAGCATTCCCTGTGAAAAATATAAGAACTGCTTAGTAATAAGCACACACCTCTCGTGCTATATGCATAGCCATATCAGTACTCAAGTTTAGGTGAGCATCACGTAAATGTGACAGTATCCATCCAGGCAATTTAGAACGTTTGTCATGACGGCTGTACCTGAACAAATTAGAGATGGTCATCAGAACATAGAAGGAATAAAATTCCCCAAAAATGACAAGTTAATTTGCCAAACAAATGGTTAACTGTGAATCCTCCAGGCATTGCCACGATGAAACAAAATCTAGTTAACATGCTTTACAAACTTGATGCCTTAATTTTTTGGTAGACAGTACCTTACATACTGGCAAATAGCAATAGACTTAAGAATAGCAAATTACAGCTTGCATGCATTTGGCACTAAGGTTTCTTCCATCAAATGTTCCTTAATAATATCCTCCCAACATGTTTGTTGGTTCCCCATAGACTCGATGGCCAACAATGACACTGGTAAACTGTTCAGTCAACATAATTTTACAACTTCCATTTAGCTTGGCAAGCTATCTAAATTTAGTACTTTAGAATTATTTATCGATAGATGAAGCTAATAAGCAGACCAATCTAAATTAACAAAAAGTGCAGAATCTACTTTTAGCAATCAAATGCCAATCATGGATCTGATTGTCATGAACTTTTGATTATTTAGTTACACTTCTGAGGTATAGAATATCTTTGACTGATAGGTAAAAACCAAGGACTAAATACATGAAGTAGGACCAGTATTAATAATTCCATAAAAAGAATACCTTTTGTCGGCAAAAATCATCATCCCATAATCTGCCTTTGAACGGAAAACTCGCCCCACACATTGAGCAGGCTGTCTCTGAATAAATGTAGTCCCATTATTGAAGCTCATAGTTATTTTTTCAAAAGAAAAAAAAAACATAATTATCACACAGCCAAACATGCAGTACAAAAATACCAGAGCGTCAAAAATCAAAAAATCGCCTTCCTTTATCTAGAAAGTCTCCCTCTAATACTCCAAACGTGCAATCAATATTCTGCAACAATCAAGAAAATAAAGCTTAAAGGATCAACAGGCCTAGGCAATGAACTTCATAAACATATTTGGACACAGCCGTTGATATTTTCAAGTAGCAAGGCTGCAAAACAGTCGTAGCAAATCACTTGTTTAATGTATACTGAAAAGGGACCCCAAACATGATAACAAATCTGCCATATTGTCCATCAAAATCAATACCTTCTGCCACTTTTCCCCTACAAGAATACAGTAAAATAACAATCATAGAATCTCATCAAAACTTGATGTTTCTCTATCAGTATTCAGTTGACAATCAAATGAACTGTTTCAACATAGACACCCCATTATTATTTGCTTTAGTAAATTTGTAAAACCATGACAGAAGCATGCAGACAAATTTTTAATTTTTTGTCCTAAATTTCAATGGATGGAAGGGCTTACTTTGCCACAATGTCACACCATAATTTCTGATTAACCTCTCCATTCTAATACCAAATGAAATTGAACAGAAGAGAAAAATGCCATGCTCAACAATGGTTCATCCAAAAACCACACTCAAATCAAACCAATTCCATTGTTCCACAGTCGGTCATGAACCAAGGCAAAACTGACATTGAACTCTACTACTATTGGCCAAAACAATTGAGGACTTGCGTAAATCTCATTTCACATCCAATATCCATTATGAAGATGCTAGAAAACCCTAAAGAAGAACAAAAAGAGTAAAAAATAAATTTTCCCACTTGATGTAGAATCTATTTAAGACTAAACTCCAACAAGACAAAATTCCTAAACAAACGAATCAAATTGTAACTTAAAAAAATTACAACCCAACTCAAGATAGACCTCTTAGATTATAATGACTTTAACCAGAAAATAGATTATAAGCAAATAGAAACTTTTATGAGCATATAAATCCAATAAAAATTAAATTAATCAATTTGCTCCCACCACCATAAAATTTCTAAACAAAAGCATTGAAAATCCCAGAAAAGGCGTTTGTTCCAGTCGAAGAGTTGAACTTTCAGAATATGAAGACTAACGAATTATAATAAATTCAAGCTGATGAAACCAATTAAACTCTAATAACATCTTCCATGATGAAATAAAAAATAAAAATAAAAAATAAAAACACAAAACAAAACCAAAAAAAATAGAAAAACAAACTAACTTCACCACCAAACATTGCACTAATACATCCAGATTAGCAATAGCATCAAAGTGGTTATTCAGAAAGAAAGAGAGGCAGTGTAACTTGTTGGGAAAAACTACTCACTTTACATAATTTCACATTGCATATCGCAAAATTATGAGATGAACAAAACAAACCTTCAATCCCAGGCAAAATAACATGCTGAATAAAATATAGATAAAATATAAAATGGTTAAAGGAAGCAAACCGAAGCCTGTGTGATACCACAGTCTCCTTAAAATAGATTCGCCACCTCACTGTGGGTGCTGGAGGTATATCGGCATCTGTTTCTCAACATGCGATGGTATAGACCAATTAATGCAGAAGTACCTTCTGTTTAACTCCGACGAACTAATAATGACAGCACTCTCTCACAGAGAAAGAATAAAATAGAAACAGACTGACTGTAACGGACAACGGCAGCACTCTCTCTCAGGAAGAAAATTATAGGAGAAGTAGACTGACAGTGTATGGATGTCAAGGAAAAATTCTATATCTCTTTTCAAGGAATAGGGCCTCCTTTTATACACCATGGGGGAGAGGGGAGGAGCCTCTAGCCATCAAGGCTAGCAACTAATGCTAGCAAAACTGCCCAATTAATTTTGTAAAATTGATGAGCCTTAAATGTGTGAGTTATATACACATTTATGAGGCAATTTCTTATTCAACCATTTTTCTCCAACAATCCCCCATATGAATAAAAATTGACCGAATACAGCAAACGCTCAACGTTTATCAATAAAGACTCGGAAAGAAAGAGAGCACATAGACTAACCCTGCTTCAGAAAAGGTAGCTGTTGGCCTTGAACCTTTCGTAGTGAAAGCCTATCGGATTTACTGGCTGACCAGTGAACGTGATGTCTTGAACTATTCTGTCGTTTATGTAAACCGAGACAATGGATCTCACACAGGAGTTAGTCCAACTATTGTTCTTGTTCTCACTGGTGTGTCCGGTATGGCCCTGGAACACTAGCCTGGTTCTGTGGGTGTTTTTAAAGAATTCGGCCTTGGAAATTCTTAAAGAAACGGCCCCACTTCGCATTCACATAGGTGATCTAGATACGGTATTTCATTATACCACATCACTAAGGTCATTAAAAGCATTAGCTTAACCTTCCACCCCCACAGGGCATCACTGTATAAAGGAATGAGCAAGTGGATTTACTTCTTCAATGACTCACCCGTTACACGAAGTTAGGTTGTCCCTTTGAACCTAGATCTTGGGATCTCCAGTCAACTAGGTTGGGTTTTCCGTTCCGGTAACCTTTACTAAAGGCCTTAACCCCATTCCTCTTGACGACTTTTCTATTAACTCTCGAGTTAACCCTTTGGTTAGCAGATCCACAATGTTGTCCTTAGACTTGACATAGTCTAGAGAGACAACTCCATTTGAGAGTAGTTGTCGTATGGAATTATGTCTACGACGAATATGTCTAGACTTTCCATTATACATATTACTCTGTGCCCAACCAATCGCCGATTGGCTATCGCAATGAATACTGATAGCTGGCACAGGTTTCGACCAACGTGGAATATCCTCAACAAACTGGCGAAGCCATTCAGCTTTTTCAGTTGCTTTATCTAAAGCAATAAACTCATATTCCACCGTTGATCTTGAGATACACATTTGCTTGGCAGATTTTCAAGACACGGCTACCCCTCCGAGGGTAAACACATAACCACTAGTGGATTTGGAATATTTTATATCATATATCCAATTTGCGTCACTATACCCTTCTAGTACCGCTGGGTATCTAGTATAATGCAGCCCATAATTGTAAGGCCCCGGTGTCCCACATCGGGAATGGAGGGGGAGTTTCTAGGCTATAAAAGTAAAAACCTGGACCCTTATATAGCATCGAGGCCTTTTCCCGAGTGGTGAAATCCCTAACAAAACTCCACAGTTAAGCGTGCTTAGGCTGGAGTAGTTCTGGGATGGGTAACCCACTGGGAAGAATAAATCCGTGCGGGCGTGGCCCAAAGCGGACAATATCGATGACGTGTGAAGGGTCGGGGCGTTACAATAATCTAGGGTGTAACGGATATACCCCAACACCCGCATCATGCCCTTCTAATGAGTAGCATTAGATTACTTGTGTGTCTAATCAGCCTACTAACAGCGTAGGCGATATCCGGCCTTGTACAACTCATCAGATACATCAAACTCCCAATGACCCGAGAATATTCTAGTTGAGAGACACTCTCACCATTATTCTTGGTGAAATATAGACTTAAGTCTACCGGTGTCCTAAACATACTTGTATCTGACTTTCCAAATTTCTCAAGTATCTTATTAACATAATGAGCTTGAGAAAGTATAATACCACCAGATGTTC